CCCCTTTGATTAAACGCACGGCCGGCGTGGAACTATGTTGACAAAATCTTGTCTGTTGATCGCTAACATCAACAGGTAGTTTGCTTGTTGACGCGCCGCTCCTCGCTTACGTCTTTCACAAGTTGTGGTTTTTTTTAAATAAACAATAACACAAGGGGTTGTTTGGGGAAAAAATGGATCAGCATATTTTATCCTGGCTTTCCATTTGTTCGGGAAAGGGGGAGAACTATTAAGGAGAATATTATCAGAGTTATGCAACTTGTGTTTTGGGCGGAAGTTATGGTGTGTGCAGTACACGCGAAGTGAGACATTCCATATTAGAGCCCTTCTGATCATGCGCAATGTGAAAATTATTTTCATAAACAAAACATTGTCGCGTGCATTCTTCGCAAGAGCGAAGCGTTATTGCTAATAATAATAATAATAATAATAATAATGACGACGATGATGATGCTGATGATGATGATAATGATGATAATGATGATGATGATGATGCAGTGGCGTAGCTAGGATTTTTGGGCCCCTATGCACAAAGTGTCAGTGGGCCCCTCAGAGGCGTAGCGACCCTTCCCGGCGACCGGGGACAAACTTTCGATTTGCACCCCCCCCCCCCCCCTCAGACTTTCGATTTGCACACTCCCCGTCCTCAGACTTTCGATTCGCACACCCCCCCCCCCCTCAAACTTTCGAAAAAGGGCCCCTATTTGCCTTGGGCCCCTATGCTTTGCTTACGCTAGCTTTACGGTAGCTACGCCACTGTGATGATGATGATGATGATGATACATTTGATGTTTTATATGAAAGGCTGCAATATTTTACTAAATTGGCATAGGTCAGCCTATATCGATTAAGAAAGGGGGGGGGGGGGATATCAAATGTCTACCTGTGCAACTAGGTGTTTATCTGAGAAGCCCGCTCGTCCATAACTAAAATACAAAACATGCTTGGTCTAAGCTAGAAGATAACTATACCTTTACTAAGTTAAAAATATAAATAAAGGATAAAATCTGATAATGCATTTTTTAAAATGACGGGCTCGTACTTATTGTATGTATCAACTGACATAACTGAATCTCTTTGTATAAATGATTGACTTTGCTTTAATATTCAAACGATAAACCTAACGCTAGCGCCAACCCATGTACTAAACCATACACTCCAGCCACTGTCCATGATTATTTTTGTATTACTTTAAACAAAATGGATATGTCCTGAAGCTGATGTCGTATCACTACATCAGCGACAAATGTGAAACTTCAGCAAACCAATGATGGCATCTGGGTGACACTGAACTTGGTTAATTGTTGACCTTTGAACCTCCCCCCCCCCAGTAATTGCCCTCTCACCCCCTCACACCTGATGCAGATTCCAGTGGTGCACCAAAGGGCAGTGACGTCAGCGTTCTCACCTGTCCTAGGCCGGGGTCAACACAGACGCCGACGTCTGCTGGTGATAACGGAAGTCGGACGTTTGTCCACTCAACAGGAAAATATTTGCTCCGTTCCTGTCGTCCAGCTCTCTTTGACTGTGCATGCTTGCCGAATGACACATGTCATCTCCATGCTGGCCGAATGACACATGTCATCTCCATGCTGGCCCAATGACACATGCCATCTACATGCTGCCCTAATGACAAATGACATCTACATGCTGCCCAATGACAAAGGACATCTCCATGCTAGCCGAATGACACGTGTCATCTCTATGCTGGCCCAATGACACATGTCATTTCCATGCTGGCCCAATGACACATGCCATTTACATGTTGGCCCAATGACACATGCCATCTACATGCTGCCCTAATGACAAATGACATCTACATGCTGCCCAATGACAAAGGACATCTCCATGCTAGCCGAATGACACGTGTCATCTCTATGCTGGCCCAATGACACATGTCATTTCCATGCTGGCCCAATGACACATGCCATTTACATGTTGGCCCAATGACACATGCCATCTACATGCTGCCCTAATGACAAATGACATCTACATGCTGCCCAATGACAAAGGACATCTCCATGCTAGCCGAATGACACGTGTCATCTCTATGCTGGCCCAATGACACATGTCATATCCATGCTGGCCCAATGACAAATGTCATGTTCAATTTTGTAATAACATAAGCAATGCCTTTCTTTCCAACCCAATAATTTTTTAAGTTGGTGACCTTGACCTGCGAACTTTATCCATACTCTGTTTAATTATTTAATAGACAAGTGGCTTTTAGTGCATCAGTTCAAGGGAACTACCATATGTATGTGCTTTATTAACGTACTGTTGCTTATCTTTGGGAGTTGTTAGAAAGTTCAAGGGGGTTGTGATGTCTTCTATTTAAACTCAACTCAGGGATCAGAATGTTCTTGTAGTTGTGTAAAATATCATTGGAATTTGTAACATGAACATCACCAATATTCACCAATATTCAAACCCAAATCAGGATTTTGCTAAACACGTACATTATACAGCATTACACTATCAAACATCACACTAACACCACATCCATCAACAACATCCAAATCAACAATAGTAACACCAACATCAAAACCACCAATAGCAACAGCAACAACATCCAAACCAACAATAGCAACACCAACAACATCCAAACCAACGATAAAACACCAACAACATCCGAACCAACAATAGCAACACCAACAACATCCAAACCAACAATAGCAACACCAACAACATTCAAATCAACAATAGCAACACCAACAACATCCAAACCAACGATAAAACACCAACAACATCCGAACCAACAATAGCAACACAAACAACATTCAAATCAACAATAGCAACACCAACAACATTCAAATCAACAATAGCAACACGAACATCAAAACCAACAATAGCAACACCAACAACATCCAAACCAACCATAAAACACCAACACCATTAAACCAACCATCATTATACTAACAAGACTCCTCCACAACATTCACATTAACATCTCACCATCCTCACACATCAGTAAAACACACCACCAACACATACACTAAATTATACATACACCAACAATAACATTCACATTAACAATTTATCAACAAAAAACACCTTAGCAACATGCCAACAACACATTTACAACATTCACCTTAACAACATTCCCACAAAAATACATTACACGGCTCACAAAAACACCCTGCAAGTTTGAAGAAACCTGGCCAAATTAGCGCGGCAAACAGCAGACGATCGAGTGACCACTGATAATTTATTCAACAACAATGTTTGAATGGAAGCCCAGTACCTGGCCACGTTTGTATTTTTTGTAATTAATTATTTGAAAAGAGGTCTATAATTGTCTTCTATTTTGAACGCGTTCAATATTTAACAGGCAGATAATATTGAACAGACACAATTAGCAGACGATTTGAACTATTTTAGTTTTAAATTAACAGAATTAGCAGACGACTTAAACTATTTTAGTTTTAAATTAACAGAATTAGTGACAAGCTGATCTGTTTTGAGATACTGTGATATATTTTAAGTGCTTGTGGTGCTAAAAATAGTTTGAATAAAAACGTGCATATTTTACTGGAAAACTGGTTTAAAAGTCTTTATTGGTTTTTTAATGAACATTCCTCTTGAAACTAAATTGAGCAGTTACCTCTTCGAAATGGATTATAATTAGATATTGGGTATAATTATTAGCACTTTATAACCAAGAACCTTAAAAAAAATTTGTAAAGCCGGTTGGATTTGTTGATATCTTAAAGAATTAATTTTTGAGTTTTCTCTTTAATGTTGACTTATGGCATCTAATCATGAGCTGAGAAATCATCATCTGATTTGTGTTTTACAAATATAATTTACAAAAGTGGCTGTATGACCCGTGTATCTGAGGTAGAACAGATTGTTTCAATGTGAGGATTGTAGACGTCTTAAAGAAACACACAAAAGACCGACACAACCAAAGACATACCCTCCACAGGACTTTGTCACAGCAAACTATACACACTGTCGAGTGGTAGAGCACTTAACTGCTTGCCCGAAGGATCTCGGTTCTAACTTGTGACTATATGTCGTCCCTGAGTCCACACAGCTCTGATGGGTACCGGACGTTAGGGAAAGTAAAGACGGTTGAACACATCAGCCTTTCATATGCCGAGGGCAAGAAACATATGAACTCTACTTCATCTGCCCTATGGATCGTTAGGTCTGACAGGGGAAATTTACTTTTTTTATATACACACAGCACAAACAACAAATTATACAAACAACGGGAAAGAAATGTATCCTCTCCTCTCTCCGGATTATAAGATAAGCATCAACCGTTTCTTGTCCAACTACTTGAAGTCAGGGGTCTGTGGTTGAGGCGTCGGATGTCTGGATGGCTTGACCAGTCCCCACAAAATATGGTATAACCCTTAGGCGCAAGATTTCTTGACATCACGACATAAATACTAACACGACCCTTGCAAGATTTCTTGACATCACGACATAAATACTAACACGACCCTTGCAAGATTTCTTGACATCACGACATAAATACTAACACGACCCTTGCAAGATTTCTTGACATCACGACATAAATACTAACACGACCCTTGCAAGATTTCTTGACATCACGACATAAACTCTAACAACACTTGCAAGATTTCTTGACATCACGACATAAATACTAACACGACCCTTGCAAGATTTCTTGACATCACGACATAAACTCTAACAACACTTGCAAGATTTCTTGACATCACGACATAAATACTAACACGACCCTTGCAAGATTTCTTGACATCACTACATCAATTATAACACAACTCGTTGCTATATTCATATAGTTTAATAGATAGTTAAATGACCGGATTCTTTTACTATTCATACTGTTTGAAATAATTAAAAGGTGCTTCAAAAACAAGACTTGATAGGCCGACTTTTCCTACTTCAATGAACTGGACAATGGTTTAAAGGCAGCACCCATTGGCACGTCTCTATAGAAGGTAACCACTCACCAAGAAACACTAACCCAGGGGTGTGGGATAGGAGCGTCTCATGGCTAGTGACTACCTGTGAAGGTAGCTACACAACAAGAGACACAGAACCAGGGTTATGGAATACGAGCGTCTCGTGGCTAGTGACTTTTCATCAGGTGGACACGCGACTTTACCTGTAAATTATTTTTTAAATTGTTTACAATCTTTCACAAATATTTGTATGGATGAGTGTATGAATGAGTTGCTTGAGAGTAAATAAAGGGTGACTTCGTGGTTGAACGGCAAGACATTGTGTAGACTTACAGGATTTATAGCGTATATCCATAAATTGGTGTGGTAGGCCCACTTATATGCTAATTTTTATTTCGAGGTACCCTCTGATTCGGCTTCAAATAGTGTAAAAACCATGCAGTTGAAAGTGGGGAAACGAAACAATATAGAGGTTTCGGCTACAGGAAATTTCTTACTTACACTACAAATTAAATATGTGGAGGTTATATGATGTTGACTTTATTTAAACAATTTTTGGTGGCTATAGTTATTTTAATAAATAATTAAAATAATAATACTAGTGGTAAAACATTAAGATTGAATAACATGTAGTTGTTTAAGGCTAACTGTAAGTAATAATTAACCCGGCAATGAAAAGTAACCGAAGTTGATGTAATGACAAAATGCTGGCCTGATCCTTAACTCAGCTGAGAAGATTGTAACTTAAACCTTTAAAACAGCATATACCATGTACAGAAATGGATGAGTGATTCTATTGAACAGTGTGTGTGTGTGTGTGTGTGTGTGCTACCACTAACACAATCTTTCAGGCTTACGAAGCAGTTAGTGAAAGGTTCCATCTTTATATGAATTCCAGCCTGTATATTTAATAGATCTAAATATCGCATGAACATCGTGTAATAGAACTGAAATTAGACTTACTACACATTTGATCATTACAGTGTGGGAATCCTTTGGGGCAGGCCGAACACGCTGGTCCCTTTTTATAAATTTTGGATTTACTTAAATTTATGTTCCCGCTGTAAGATCAAGACAAATATTTGATTAATGCGTTCCATCATTCCTCCCCACAAAGCAAATGAAATGTTTTATTAAACCACACAACTCGCTAGAGATACTAGTTTTGGATATTCGTTACCCGGAAGTCAAGAAGTAGTTAGGGGGAGGGGGATGACACAAAAAAGCCAGAATTCCCTAGAGTAACTTTACCAAGTTCCACTCAACTCACGCTCTAAAATACCCATAAACTTAGCGAAAGCGAGAATCAGTAAAACAAATTTCATTCATTAAAATAACCGCAATTCCAGCAAGAATAAGTACATTTTTCATCTCCTAAAATAACCCCGATTCTATCAAGTAAATGGTTCTTACTTGGGTCAAATCGTAAATGTTTCTTACTTGGGTCAAATCGTAAATGTTTCTTACTTGGGTCAAATCGTAAATATTTCTTACTTGGGTCAAATCGTAAATGTTTCTCACTTGGGTCAAATCGTAAATGTTTCTTACTTGGGTCAAATCGTAAATGTTTCTTACTTGGGTCAAATCGTAAATGATTCTTACTTGGGTCAAATCGTGAATGATTCTTACTTGGGTCAAATCGTGAATGATTCTTACTTGGGTCCATAGTGACAGACATACAAGCTGCCTTTTGTAAAGGTAGAAACTCCAATCAGGGTGTCACACCACTTGGCTGCACATCCCAGAACTTCTGTTGTCGGCCAAACTACCTGATTACACACACACACACACACACACATATATATATATATATATATATATATATATATATATATATATATATATATATATATATATATATATATATATATATATATATATATATATATTTATTTATTTATTTATTTATTTATTTATACATATATATATGCTTGTATGTTTAGTGTCTGTTGATCGTTATGGAACATCGTGGCCAGGTTCAATCTATACATTTTTATAAAGATTTAATTTTGAGGTTTTCAAAAATATTTTAAAATTCATTATCAATAACCGTCTACAGAGCGTAGCAAAGTATTTCCTGAATCCTGATAAGTCTCAAAATGGAGACGTCTAGTAATTCTCCGAATAGGGGACACTAAGAAATTCTCTAAAATGTAATTCTCGCGATCTCTGAGCAGAACCGTAGAAATGGTCGCTGACTAAAGATGGAATAGCCTTAGCCGTGGTACATACATGTCGTCATTTGATTTTAGCTGGACTGGCTACCACTGTTACAATAATATGCAAGACCCCAAGTTATCAAATAATCATTTTATTTTAAATTAACATGTTTCATTCATTTTTTTTAAAATTTGTACGAGATTTACTAATATATACGGCCACATTTCTTAACAATCACCCCCCCCCCCCCACATCCCACTGTATTTACTTCTGGGTGTGTCCATTCAAGGAGATTACAAGTTAGACATGGCTGTAAGAATCAGTTTCCTATCGTATACTTTATTAGCTCGACATATTCCTGACTGCTATAAAAACACTTACTTGAGTGTAGTGACCGCATTTTCCCTGTTTACATTTCATCCCCTCGTAATCCCAGTTGACTTCTTCTTTGTTGAATTCGTGAACGAAAGCACCGACGTCTTTCAAAACTGTAGGCAAACATAGTAGTAAAATGTGTAATCGTCCACCCCATCATCTCTTCATCACCCCACCCACTCATCCACAATCCCACTCATCCATCACCGCACTCATCCATCATTCCAATCATCCATCACTCCACTCATCCACCAAGCCATCCACTCCATCACCCATCACCTTTCCACCACCCCACTCATCCATCACCCCAATCATCCACCACTCCACACATCCACCACCACACTCATCCACCACTCCACCACTCCACTCATCCACCACTCCACTCATCCACCACCACACTCATCCACCACTCCACACATCCACCACCACACTCATCCACCACTCCACCACTCCACTCATCCACCACTCCACTCATCCACCACCCCACTCATCCACCACTCCACTTATCCACCACTCCACACATCCACCACCACACTCATCCACCACTCCACCACTCCACTCATCCACCACTCCACTCATCCACCACCCCACTCATCCACCACCCCACTCATCCACCACTCCACTTATCCATCACCGCACTCATCCATCATTCCAATCATCCATCACTCCACTCATCCACCAAGCCATCCACTCCATCACCCATCACCTTTCCACCACTCCACTCATCCATCACCCCAATCATCCACCACCCCACTCATCCACCACTCCACTCATCCACCACTCCACTCATCCACCACCCCACTCATCCATCACCCCAATCATCCACCACTCCACACATCCACCACCACACTCATCCACCACTCCACCACTCCACTCATCCACCACTCCACTCATCCACCACCCCACTCATCCACCACTCCACTTATCCACCACCCCACTCATCCACCACTCCACTCATCCACCACTCCACTTATCCACCACCCCACTCATCCACCACTCCACTCATCCACCACTCCACTCATCCACCACTCCACTCATCCACCACCCCACTCATCCATCACCCCAATCATCCACCACTCCACACATCCACCACCACACTCATCCACCACTCCACCACTCCACTCATCCACCACTCCACTCATCCACCACCCCACTCATCCACCACTCCACTTATCCACCACCCCACTCATCCACCACTCCACTCATCCACCACTCCACTTATCCACCACCCCACTCATCCACCACTCCACTCATCCACCACTCCACTTATCCACCACCCCACTCATCCACCACTCCACTCATCCACCACTCCACTTATCCACCACCCCACTCATCCACCACCCCACTCATCCACCATTCCACTCATCCACCACCCCACTCATCCACCACTCCACTCATCCACCACTCCACTCATCCACCACCCCACTCATCCATGTTACACTGACCCAGCAAGAATAATTTGCAGTGTTAAGATACTCACCGGCAGTGCTACGTACATGAATATTTTCACCAAGTATTCTGTAACCCGCTTTGTTTGATCTCACCGAGTCGCTACTGTGCTTAAACGAACACATCTCAGCAACATGTAAGGCACTGCGCTCTACTTCCGCACTCCATTCCTGCTCAATAGATTCACAGTTAAGAACTAGTTTCATTTCACTACACACGTGAATCAAATGTGAGCCTACTATAACGAACTGCTCGTGATTTAAGACTTAACCAACTTAATGTACTGGTAAGGGTCCATCATAAGAAAGAGACATGGAACAGAGATAAAAAGTCAAGTGACTCCCAAAAAGTGACTCCCCACATCCCAGAGAGTGACTCTTCACATCCCAGAGTGTGACTCTTCACATGCCAGAGTGTGATTTCTGTGAACTTAAAAGATCTTAGCCCACCACAATTTACACCTCACCCACACCTCTATAACAATACCACATCTTACATACCATAGAAAGCGTTACCCCAGCCCCCACCCCAAAACACACACACAACACACCCCACACATCAAACACCATACCTCACCCACCCACCACACATCACCCCCACATCAAACACCACACTTGACCCACCCACCACACATCACCCACACATCAAACACCACATTTAACCCACCACCCACACATCAAACACCACACTTGACCCACCCACTACACACCACCCACACATCAAACACCACATTTAACCCACCACCCACACATCAAACACCACACTTGACCCATCCACCACACATCACCCACACATCAAACACCTCACCCACCCACCCACCGCACACATCAAACACCACACTTAACCCACCACCCACACATCAAACACCACACTTGACCCATCCACCACACATCACCCACACATCAAACACCACACCTCACCCACCCACCGCACACATCAAACACCACACTTAACCCACCACCCACACATCAAACACCACACTTGACCCAACCACCCCACCTCACCCACACATCAAACACCACACTTGACCCGCCCACCCCACCTCACCCACACATCAAACACCACACTTGACCCAACCACCCCACCTCACCCACACATCAAACACCACACTTGACCCAACCACCCCACCTCACCCACACATCAAACACCACACTTGACCCAACCACCCCACCTCACCCACACATCAAACACCACACTTGACCCGCCCACCCCACCTCACCCACACATCAAACACCACACTTGACCCAACCACCCCACCTCACCCACACATCAAACACCACACTTGACCCAACCACCCCACCTCACCCACACATCAAACACCACACTTGACCCAACCACCCCACCTCACCCACACATCAAACACCACACTTGACCCAACCACCCCACCTCACCCACACATCAAACACCACACTTGACCCAACCACCCCACCTCACCCACACATCAAACACCACACTTGACCCAACCACCACACATCAAACACCACACTTGACCCACCCACCACACATCAAACACCACACTTGACCCAACCACCACACATCAAACACCACACTTGACCCAACCACCACACATCAAACACCACACTTGACCCACCAGTCGGATCATGTTACTTGACCCCTGAGATTTTCTCAAATCGTTGTGACGTTTCAGGATGATTTCTTTTTCCTCCTCGTTAAAATTACTTCTTTCTTTAGTCGAAAACCTGCGGACCCTGTGGGTCCTGTGCGATGGCTGGAAGACCGGAAGTGGCCAGCTACTGTTCACAAATGACTTGTCTGGAAAACGTAAACGGCTGAGCAACATCCGCCAAATTTTATGGTATACTTTGGCCATGTGAGATACAGACGAACATGAACGAAGTGGGGGAAAGAAAGTTAATATTATTGTGACCAAAATGCATACATTGTGACGAAAGAACACTTTGACTGTGACAACCCCCCCCCCCCCCACACACACACTAAGACAAAAAGAACTCACAATGTGGTAAAACAAAACACTATGACAAAAAGAACACACACTAAGGCAAAAAGAACACATTATAACAAAAGGAACTATGACAAAAAGAACATACACTAAGGCAAAAAGAACACATTATAACAAAAGGAACTATGACAAAAAGAACACACACTGGGAAAAAGAACACTCTATGACAAAAAGAACCCACACGAGACAGAAAGAACACACAGTGATAAACAGAACACACTCTGGCAAAAAGGACACACTAACATTTAGACAAATAGAAAACATCAACGTTGTAGAAAAACAGAACAAACACTGACAAAAACAAAATCACAACTAAAGTCCACAAAAGTAAGGAAATGTTTACACTCTAGGACCTAGATTCTAGAAATCTAGAGTCAATGTGCAAAATGGAAGGAACGACTTTCTAAGGGAGATAAAATATGGATGCAACAAACGTGAACCCAGTTCCATCCTACTTACCTACATCACACCCAGCAAAACTCAGGAACCCCCAGAAGAAAAATACACAGATTACCATTTTGGTTTGTGTATTAGAATGAATTAATATACCTTGAATGTGTAATTTAGGTTTTTGTTAGTGATCAGAACCTGATATTCAACATACGGTCTCATATGGAGCAAAGGTTTCTATATTTCTGAGTGCAGTGAAATAATGTTTGGTGCGCAATTCTGCTATTCTGTTCAAATGAACCCCTGCCAGGTTTGGAATTAATGTGCATAATTAATACAATTTTGGTAAAAAAAACAAAACAGCGCATTCTCTGCATCCACCCCCCCCCCCCCCCTTAAAAAACTCAGTTCTGGCCATAGGCTATTTTTAATCTGAGTATTAATCCGCTGAAAATCCTTCCGATTTAGGCTGGGGAAAAAATCCCCCACATCCCCACCTTTGTAAAAAAAAAAAATTTTCTCCACCGATCAAACAGTTCAATCAGTCTGTCGATAAATCTGTCAAGCCACGTAGGCTACGTGTATATTTCAGTAATGCAGTTCAAAATAGGTTTTCCAGTTCCTTTCATCGTCACCCTGAATCTCACACCCCCCCCCCCCCCACTTCCCGCACATGTATGTCACTGCAGTGGCGTCGCTAGGTCGGGTGACACCCGGTACAATAGCCCAGGATGTCACACCCCTCTCCACCAAAGATTTTTTTATATGAAAGGTGTATTACAAATACAGGAAATTTGGGGTCATCCCCATCACCGACGGCGTCATTCTATGCCTTATGAATATGATCCATATAACCTTAAAAGGTTAGTTAAGATAACTTGGAAAAGCAAATTTTCTCACTAAAATTAGATATTTATCTTTTTGACGTAATCGGGTGAAGTCCGCACCCCGCCTTGCGATCTTCTGCATCATTGATTACGAATTAAGATATTCTAGAGTTTTGAGATAAATATAGCCCTCTGCAGTTGTCAGGTCAAGTGACAACTATCCAGCCCCCCCCCCCCCCCCCCCAAACCACTGCCTAGAAAGTGGTCAGACAACTGTCCATAATAAAGGTGAAGAAGTGTAAAATAAAAAATGTGGATTTTTTATAAATTTAAACTGGCTGATACTGTAATGCTTCATATATTCAAGTTAACGATACCATCCCTATTAAAGTTCGATTCCGATGCTCAAGTACGAGATACATCTGAAAATGTTTAACTCTCTAGTCGGGGAAACTCAAGACAGCTAGGCCAAGTACTGACAACATAATCCCAACCTCTTAGGTCTAAGGTACAGATGAGGGGAAGCTAACTAAGCTATAGCTTGTTTAAGTAAAGGAAACGTTTTACTTTTTGATGATTACATTAGTAAAATGACAGTGGCATGGATTACACTGTGCAGGATTTAGCAATAAAAGCTCCTTACCCATACATAAAATTCAAAGTAACAAAATCTAGAAGCTATCTAAATCTTCAACTTTGAGATGAATATATAACAGCTGCATAATTAAAACATTTTAACACAGTACTAATCCAATGCAAAATACGGTTAAATACGTCACATTTTTACATAGCTGATTTATAAGGCCCAAGTATATTAAGTTAAGTAGACAATATATGTGAAGTAAAACTTCAAACACAATCAAAACTGAGATATTGCTACATGATTTTATTTATATAAAGAAACATTATCAATTACAAGAACAAAAACGTATTACACAGCTGTTAGTGTTTCAATAGTTCAAGACAATTGTGCTGCCAAAATTGGCATCAATGTGTTAGTAAAGCAATGAAGGAAAATCAGTGAGGATACAATCAAGCTGTCATTGGTTCATTTGTGTTTACATAATAGCTGGTGAAAAACAAGATGTTAGACAGACTTTACATACCATCTTATAATCAAACTTTTCATGGGACTCAGTATGTCCAGGATAGGCCCAAATAGCAACACAAATCTCATTTAACTAGCTCGTTCTTGACAATCATACAGTAATAGAAAGCTCAAGAGTAGTTTCATTGTATCATAGAGGGCAGAAACACTCAGAGGAACATGCCTACATACACTATCAATATAGTTGAATTACACAGTGGTAGGATTCAACACAATTATTGAACACATTCAATAATAGATTTACACTGGCTGAAATTTGGACAAAATAACATTCACTAACCTGTGACATAAATGCAGTAAAACTTTAACAGGAAATAAACAAAATGCAACAACTTGCATTCCTTTCAACTCAAATTCCATTTAAATTGTATCACTAAATCAATTATTTAACATTATTTCATTCAAACAAAATAGGCTGCTAAAAATATTTGAGCATTTAAATTATCATGGATGGCAGTTTTAAAGGTTAAATCTAAATTGTAATAAAATAGTTATCAGTTAGCGTCACATATAGATTAATAGAAAAAAGTTTTTTATGGCAATGCTCAAGCTGAATTGAGCGTGTCGTCAAAATATGTGTAGAGCAAAATATTTTTAAAAGTTAGAAAAAAAGAAGCCAAAAATTCACAGACCACTTTGAAACCATCATGGAAAAGTAAAAAAAATACTTATATAAGTGCATGCAAAAAAAAAAAAGTTTGCCTTCACCTGCAATTTTTTTTTTAGAAAATTCTAACCATCACCATATTTTATTAAAATTGAGCTTACTATCTCTTGAAAGAAAAAGTAACGTAGAGCTATTCCAGTTCATAATCTTAAAAGTGGACTTTTCCTTGAAAGTATAAATTTTTACTCAGTTGATTAAATAAAAACATTGAACACAGCTAATTTTGTAGTCACCTCCTTAGCTTATGGTGAAGATGTGATCAAAACAATTAGAACTGACCATTATGGTAATTTAAGTACAAAAGTTAACACTGGTTACTGGTGGTCGTTTATTTGACAGATTCTTGTTGTTCAAAGAGAGGATAGTTGTTGAGGACATCTTGCCAGGTGCGTCTACCATCTGCCAGATCTTTCACTATCTGGGGCAGCTCATTGATCTGTGGGCAGATCAAATAGATACTAAAATACATCGGATACAACAGTTACTATCCATATTTAACTAACTATTTCAAACAAAGAATATTATAATAACTTAGAAGTAAAAAAAAAAAAAACAAGGAAAATACAAAGTTTATCTACATTCTAGGCTAAATTTATTCAAGGAAATGCAGTTGCAAGCTTTTCAGTATTACCCTTACAGATGTGATTAGTTACAAAAAACTTGTCATGTGGACAACTATTAAAACAATCAATTGGAAACTAGTAGGTATATAAGAAGCTACCACAGGGAGCAAAGATAAGCAACAAACAAGCACATACGTCAGCTCTAATTTGTTTCATTGTTTCTCTCTCCCTGAGCGTGGCTGAGTGTGGTTCTTTCAAGCTGTCAAAGTCAACAGTAATACCATAGGGAATGGCAATCTGGTCTGTTCTGGCATAACGCCGGCCAATGGAGCCACTGCTGTTGTCAACTTTGTGTGATATGTCTAGGTTGGTCAATTGTGATGCTGAAAAATAAAGCACATTATTTCTTTTACATGATGTACACATTGTATTAAAAATCTGATGTCTGTCAATTAAGATGCCACATATATTTGAAGACATAGACACACTCTCTTGTATATGGTCCCCATATAGCTTCATGGGAAATTTTTTAATTAAGAAAATAGAAATACAATTGGCTTACAAATAAGAAGTGATAAGAACTACTTACATAGTTTGCTCACAAATGGTGTGAAGTCAGCATTCTGGCTCAATGGCAAGACAGAACATTTGTATGGAGCAATAGCAGGTGGCAGTGACAGATACTGGAGTAAGAGAGAAGTAGTTCAAGAAACAAACTTAAATTGATACCTTATCATTTAAGGATAAAAAAGTAATCAACCTCACAATTTTTATAAGTTATCATAGGATTATTTTCTATGAATTGAAGAACAATTTAACTATGTTAAAGCTGTACAATAGTTATATAAACTTACTGTTCTTTGCTCATCTCCTGGTCTCATCCTAAAGTTATGTTCAAATATAGAATACATGATGCGACCAATACCAAATGATGGTTCAATTACTGAAGGAACGATTTCCTCAACTGTAGAAAATTGAGTTAAATTAGTTAATACATTGACCAGCAGGATAGAAATATCTAACATTAGCTAGGATACCAGATAAATATATTACCATGAACTGTTTTCTGATATCTTTTCACTTGGACCATTTCTTTATTGATGTTGTATGTGGTGCCATTTATAACAATGTCAGCAGATCTATTACAAACAAATAGAATTATTTTAAAATAACTAACTTGAAAATATATAATGGTCAACAGTATAGTAGAAAATATAAAAATGTCACTTGAGTAGAAAAATAAAAACATCTATGTAAAATAAAACTTCAAGAAACAGACAACAGATGGTAATTTGGCATATTGTCTTGTAAGATAAAAAAAATACTTTTTGTTGTTGTAAAAACCACAATTTGTAGTCTTTAAAAGAAAGATACTTTTTAAAGAAATAGTTTTATTTACTGCATGTATTGAAATTACATTTTGATGCTATATATGTTTTGGTGGAAAATATGTTTAAGACATTAACCTTGATTTTAATAGTAGCTACATCAAGTAAAAAAAGATGTGGTTGGAGAGTTAGATCATTAGAGCATCTTTATATATCCTAAAGAGATAAAGAAAATGTGTACCCTTTTTCATTTAAAGTTTGTTCAAAGAGGGTAATATCATCAGAGGACATGCTGTTCAGATAGTCTGTGATCAACTTGGCTTCTTGTTTGAAGATTTTGCCAAGAGCACTTTTTTGGGGCACACATTCAGTTATATCAACAGTTTTGTGATCAAAGTTAAGGTCATTAGATATTTTATTCATAAAATACTAATATTAATTACATCTAATTTAAATTTTAAAAAATCTACAAAAATTATTTCTTAAGCAATGTTCTAGTAATGGTAACCAAATTAGTTTCTAAAGGATATAGGAGAAGGTAATTGCTTTTCAGCAACCAGCTTGACATTGGTAGCTTTGGTATGTTGTGTAAGATCATAGCAGGATCTATCAGCACAGCCCACACATTCAACCCAGCCCTACCATTGTATAGAAATAAAACTTACTTAAACTATATCATTAACTTATATATCTCATAGAAAAAGAAATATTGAAAGTTATATTATATAATACTATACCATATGATTCCAAATGTACAAAGTTGCTTACGTAGGAAGTTTTACACTCTGCATCCCAACAATCACAAGCATAATGAGCCATCTCGTTAGACAAATGTTGTCTGAATCTCAAACGAGCTGGATCCACACCCATCTTTGTCATAAAGAGAAAAATCCTTGCCATGAAGTAACCCAGAGTCTCATTGGCAACCAGTTTCTAAGGAAGAAGAACACAGTAAACAGATACAATCAGAATCACTTCTTTGTATTTGAACTACTTTGAAACAAAGAGATGGCTGTGAGTGCTTACAGTTTTGACAGCTTCCCCAATAGTTTTTTTCTCAGGGGGTTTACCATCCATTTGGTTACAAGCAGAGTAGAGAGTCAGTTCAAGGTCGGCAACATTACTGAACTTTGGATGATCTTTGTCCAAGGGATCACAAAAATGTTCTATCTCAGCCATTGTAAACTCCCTAAATGATAAGACACAAGACATCCTTACATCTGTACTGTACAATGTCGGCTTTATGGCTAATGGTAATACATTCTTATTCGTTACTGGATTATATTTAATACATGTTTTGGGTTTCAAAACAACAAATCAATGTGGTTTACCTAACACGAATAAGCCCAGATCTGGGTGAGATTTCATTCCTGAATGAGTTCCCTATTTGAGCAGCAGCAAAAGGCAGCTTCCCTTGATTAAACTCCAGCAATCTTTTGAAGTTAACAAAAATACCCTGGGCTGTCTCTGGTCTTAGATAACTGAAATCATCCAACAAGAAAACATGTAAGCGCCAATGAATCAACCAACATAACTGATGACATGGAACAACGTATTAATAGTACACTAACCCCTTAATTTGACCAGTTGGTCCAATTGAAGTTGCGAACATCAAATTAAATTCCATAGGTTCTGTGAGATCATTGCCAGTGATTGGTGATTTCATTTTATACTCTCTAAGAGTATTGCCCATATCATCTTTACTCATGCCGTCAATCTGAAAATCATTTACAGAAAGCAATTACTACAATTAGGCTGTTGCTCGTAATTTTTAAACTCCACTAATTTCGAGTAAAATTATACCACAAACAAACAGGATTTTTTTCCCTACACATTGATACCAATTTTGTGTCTCTAGCTTAATTAGGAGCTAAGATATGGCCTTTTAAAAATTTGTGGGCGTGGCTTAAACAGCTTAGACCTTCGTAATTCAAGTCTATGTTACGCAAGAAAAAAAGTTGGCACCGATGGTTTTTTCATTGCATCATCACGGATTCGCATTTTTCGAAAAATTAAAAAATTATAATTTTGTTGCATCATCCGGGATTCGCATTTTTTTAAAACTAAAAAATTATAATCAAGCTTAAAGCCTAAGTTATACTGGACTGGATATGATTGACTGAGTAATTTAATGCCATTCATGATTCATTTTTTATTATTGACTTATTACTCCGTGTAAAAAAATTAATGTAGGTTTAAAATAAACTAGATCTAGTTATTGTAAATCGATTTATTAATATTTAATACTGTTAATACTATTATATAATAGAAATGCATAAGCACATATTACTTCACAAGTTCTTTAATGTAATTGTAATAACGATATTACTTGGGTAGATGAAGTAGAGTAGACCTGCACACACACCACATGGAAAATGGAAGTAGCAACTGGTTGCCTTTACGATACCTTCTCAACCCCCCCCCCCCCCCCCCCCTTGATATTCAGTGTCTATATCAGGAGGCCATAATAAAATTATAGATCAAAATAAAAAGAAAATAGCTGTCAAAGTGTGTACCAGTGTTTATTACTACTGAACTATGCATACTGACATTTCAATGTTTGCTAAAAGAAATATAAATCATTAAAATACAGTAATCAGATTACCACATGAATTTTAATTTTGTCTAATAAAATAGAAACATTTAGGAGAATGGCAAAGTAAAAAAAAGATTTTTTGCAATAATTTAAAAATATGTTTATAAGAGCAAAGAAATAAATTACATAGTGACAACCTAAATTTAGCCCTTGTATAATCTACGATCAACACAGTACTGTAAAACAGTTACATAATCAAGAAATTAGCCTCTTCTCAATATGATCCCTCTTAAGAAGAAAAGTAGCATTAATTATCGAGGAATAAACATTAAAATATTGGTTTAAAGTATAATTACTAGTAGATCTAGATCTAACCCATTTATTGAATGTATGCTGGAAAAAAAATAGGTGACGAAAAATTTCTTGGACCACTTTAGTCTCTTTAGTGTTAAAACAATTTAAGTATCAATTATAATTAATCTTTAGATACAATTAGCACATCTAAGGAAAAGAAGCACATTGACTACTGATTCTAGGATTATCTAGCTGATTTCAATTACCCTGAAAAATAAGTTAAGTAATTAATTAAAATGTAATTTTTTTTTACACTATGAACACTAAACTTAATTATAAACATTGTTAGTATTAGTTTTCAAAATAAGTTTACAATTCACAGCAATCATTTTTTCAGTAACAATTTACAAAAACACTAATGTTTAAAAAATAAAGTTCATTTTTATACTAAAAATGAAAGAAGTACTCTGAAATTCTGATTAGCTATTATTCAGAAAGAAAAACAAGATTCCTATAAAGTCAACCACCAGTGATTCTGCCCGATGACTGAAATCCTCAGCATTATCCTTATCCTCTGCCCAGTAGCTTATGGTGTAAAGAGCTGACTTTTGTTTTGTTGCTGGCAGTCTTTTAATAGTCCTTCCACTGTATTGCGACACACCTTGATCACCTTGCTCCCACTTATGAGTCAGCTAGACACCAATCAGATTTCCCATCAGATACCTCTCCAGCTGTCGCACCAAGAAAGGCTCAGTAGAAGTCAACAACGCTTCCATGACTTTAAGAAACAGAATACATTTGATCGCCACATTGCGTTCTTGTAACTGAGCTTTATCGAAGGACCAGAAATTAACTTCCCAATCAGCCTGAGTGCTTGCGGCGCTGCATGAGAACCCCAGGCTTCTTGAGATCTGCAAGCAGTTGAATGTAGATTTTAGTTATGTCCCAGCAGCCACATCATTCTCTTTAAGATGAGCCTTAAATAAAGCTGGATCTCCATGAAAACTACCTGAAAAGAGAAGGGCAAATGGAATTAGAATTTAGCAGACCATTTCACAAAATATATATCTAGCACAACATATTGCAAACTATATAAAATAAATATAAACATTAGAAATACATTCAGTCTCCATACTTACTGAATGTACTTCCACCTGAGACATGGGTTGAACATAGAAAGGGCTGTACACAAGTTCCACCAACCTATTCCCAGTCACAAGCCTGTTCTCCTCAGCCGCTTTATATCAGCCATCAAGTTTCTGATTACATTAGCAATCCTTCTTACACCTTGTTGGTCTTGCCTATAAGCAAATAAGATGTACAAAGAAAACAAACTGACCCAAGTTCTAGGCACACAATTCTAGAATTAAATTAATATTAATAAAATTATCAAGTACTAAAATTGTCCTTAATAGGCCTAATTATGGATATATACATAGGCCTACATTAATTTAAATATATAGGCCTACTTGATGGAGAATTATACCTGCACTAGTCTAAATCTATTCTTAACCATTTAACAATGTCTCACTATTTTTACAAGATCTAGATTAGAATCTAGATCTAGACTAGTACTTGTATGACCTAATCAAACATAATGATTAAATGATTGTGTTCATCTACTAAATGTACTGAATTAAAATAAATAGGCTAATTAATGAATTGATATAGGCCTAGTCCTACTTAATACTTAATGCAGAATTAGATGAACACTTAGGCCTATATAACTATATAATTATATAATTAATTAACTTATCTAGATTCTAGATCTAGATCTATATCAAAATTAACTAGTACCTTTTATTTCTTACTAGAATCTAGATTAGTGTAGGCCCTATACTATTGTATTACTATTAGCCTATAGATTATAGATTTAAGATTAAATTAGATCTAGAATTAAACTAGATCTAGGCCTAAAGCTAGATTATTTTTTACTAGATCTAGTTACTATACTATAGACTATAGATCAATACTCAATAGAGCTAGTAATCTGGATTCGTTTTTCTAAATCCAGAATCTATTAGGCTATCTATCTTATTAATAATATCATCTAGATCTATTCTAGGCCTATTTACTACTAGATATCTATACTTAATACTAGAGTCTAAATTTTCTATTTTCTAGAGTCTAGAAATCTAGAGATCAAAATTTAAGTCAACTTGTGTAAAAATCTTAAAATTAAATTAATGTAAAGTCTAGATCTAGACCTAATGGCTTATTGTCCTAATCAACCGTAATAATTTAGTAAATGTAATGTTACAGTAATGTAGGCTACTTAAACTAAATTATTAATATTAGTAGGCCTATAGTAATACTAATAGTAATCAAGTAATGCGATATTTTAATAATGTAAGAATCACAGGAAATTTGGCGCGAAATTAAGGCTCTATCGCGGTGAGCCTTCCTAGGCTTGCGGACCATTGAAATCGTAATTTTAAAATATAGGTTAATTTTAGAAGACCCAATTATTAGTCTAGTCAACATTTGGGCATGTCAATGTAAATATTAAGTACCTTATTATTTATAGATTCTTACCTTATATTTCAGCACATTGCTCCTCTGTAAGCTAATAAACGAGATCCAAAAATTAAAATAGGTTTTGAATCTAAATCCTCTTGAGGTTAAAACAAAGATGCGCACTGTGTCATGCGTAGATCAGGTGTGCTGTGGTTTCGCCTTAAGCGACATGGCCTTAATTACCAATGGGCAACCGGAAACATGGAATTTAGGTTCAAGGTACAGCCATGATTACCATGGCAACAAAGGTCACGGCGCAAGCTGCGCAACTCGCTACTACAATGTATTGTGAATCAAACAAGTAACCAGAATTTGGATTGTAAAGTTTTTACCAAAGGTAGAAGCCTACGTATCTCTTCCTTAACGTCATCTGATGTCTTTTTATCCTCCAGCATTTTCTCAAAGGTAGCTAAAAACAAATAAACATGCTTGTTTTCAGATAACATTTATAAAAATATCTAAAAGGGAGACAGCTAAAACAAAATAAATTATGCTAAAACCAATTGGCTTCAGTCACAGCAAGTATCGGATACACTAAAACTATCTTGGTGTTAAATTTTATTTATGTTTGTTAAGATTTTATTTATGGTTTTATTAAAGTTTTTATAAATATGTTTAACCTTCAATTAGATGGTCAGCTCTAAAACATTCCCCTGTTTTTAAATCTTTCACCATATAATCTTGAAACCTGTCTACATGACCGGATGCTCTGAAATAAAAAGAAAATTTAATTTTAGAACAGAAATATGAGTTTTTTTTATTAACAAGTGCTGATTATCATACAGGCTAGTTCATTTTATTAAATTTCGCTAACACAAACAGGGTAGCTTACTTTAGAACTGGTTCAGGTGTCAACATAGCAGTGTCCACCTCAAGCATTTGTTCCTCAAGAATAAAATGTTTCCTCCAAGCTTGAAGCAAATTAGCTTTCATGGCACAACCCATGGGACCAAAATCATACAAGCCATTTACACCTATTAAATACAGAACAGGAAATCAGTGCAAGGTTAATGAATGAATGTGCTGCAGTTGTAGTAATGTACAAGTTTACTTAAATTTAGTTATATATTTTAGAATTATATTATTTGCAATGTCTATAATATTCTGGTAAACACATAACATAAACTAACATTATAGGCCTACTTAAAATATTACAAGAAAGTAATAAAATACATACCACCATAAATTGCAAAGGACTGATCATAAAAAAACTTCTGTTTTAACAGATCCTCCATTTTTAATCGATCAAAGTCATCTTTTGGAGCAAGCTCAAGTTCCTGTGATTAAACAAAGAAAGCCAGTTTGTAAAACATATTTTCAGTGCCCAGTTTACAATGTTAAAACAATTACCATTTTACTACCTTGTCTTCAAGAGCTTTCTTCCTATGTTTGAGTTCAGCAACAGCTCTTTGCAAATCAATGTCACCAGCTCCATCAGTTTTCAGTTGTCTTACAATATCACCCTGCAAGTAGTACATTTATAGTATTTTATAGGGAATAGCCACTCTTCCATACAATTTTATTAGTAATGAGATCTAGTCTATTGTTTGGCAATGTACACCAATACTTTGTACTTCCCAAACCCAAGTCATATTTTAACTATAACAATTAGATCTAAGTGTCTAGATCTAGATCTAGAATCTAGTAACTAATACTAAAAGTTTCCAGTGAGTTTTTAATTTATATTCTTTAGTAATTTACTAATTTTAGTAACTAATAGAGTAAAGTTCCACGCGCGGTTAAAACACCGGTGCTGTCATCGCCTGTTTATCGCTTCGTACAATATTTGTTTTGATGTTTTATACGAAACTACCGATATCTGCTGTAAACCTGTCCATTTCTAAATATATCCAGGTCAAATTCTTTTGTTTTTCTCCTTCTGGAAGTCGAGTTTTTAAATTTTAAAGTTTCGAGGTATGACGTCGAAGGCGATTCTAGTTCCCGGTATGAAAAACACTAGGTCCCGGATGAGATGAATAAACCAACCAATCAAAGCTTTTTATAACTAGGTTAACTATAAATAGCTTCTACAATATGTGCGGGACACTGTACATACGATAGATTAGGCTAATAAAGCAACCTGTTAGGTGAATAGGGGTGGCCGCAGCTTGGGTGTCGATTTGGGTGGTTTCACCGCGCTGCGTAACCAACGACTTGAGCTAGACTAGCCTAGTTCTAGATGCTCTACATTTCAAGCTAAGCCTAGAATCTGTATAATTTCTATTTTTTTCTGCTGTTTTAAATTATTTCGATCATCTACTTCTTCTAAATCTAGTTTGTGTCTCTACATACAAGCATATCTAAGCAAATGTTACGTTATGTCTTGTCAGTGGTTGTTACGTCCCTTTGTTATGATTATTATAGTTGCGTCCCTTGAGTCATCACTGGGTCAACTTTTAATGTCGTTAATTAATTTAATTAACATGTTTTTAATTTGGTTTTGAAATCTATTAATTAATAATACAATCAACAACACGTTTAAAAGTGTAAAATATTTATTTTATTTATTAAACTAGGATTAAAACGTATAAAACACGATCGTTACGCAAGCGGGTTCAGATGGCCGCAGGGAAAAAAAAAGAGGGGAAAAAAATATCGCAAGTAGCACGTCACTAAAACATGAATATCTCAAATTCAATGCGTAGGAATATAAAATGATTGATACATATTAAGAGTAGAAAGGCAGAGGAATAATATAGTACTTTGGGTTTGTTTCTGTGTTAAACGGTTACAAAATAGCGCCCGATGAAAGTCGATGAAAGTCGGGAGTTCGCTATGTGTGACCGCGCGTGGAACTTTACTCTAGTACTTATTTTACTTATTACTTAAGACTAAGACCTAAAAAAGACTTGAGAGTTTGTTAATTTTAACTTAAGTCTTCTCTTAATTTATAATTAAGTACAGTTTTTTCGGTACAGATTCTAGAATCTACTTAGAATCTAGATCTAGTTTAGATCTAGATCTAGTCTAATATTCTAAATCTAATATTAGATTCTACCTGCTCTTTCACAGCTTTTCTGTATGGAGCAAGAACAGCTTCTATTGCAGGGTCCGACATCGCTAGTTGTCTAGTTCTTTGAGATTGCAGAAATTTTAATTTCTTCGAACCCCAACCAGATGACGTTGAGTAAGTAGTCTTTTGTAATAAACAAAAGGATGTTGGGCTAATAACTTGTAAATGTTTATGAGCAAGCCCAGCAAATACAGCTCGTCGAACCAGCTGGTACAGTTTCATCAGCTTTCACGGTTCTAGATCTATAAACTTCTACGTAAGAAAAAAATCGAAAGGATATAAATAGACTCAAAATGAAAACAAGGGCAAAGAAATAGTTTAATGGTTTCTAAAAAATAAATGAAACGACAAGGCAGTTATAATAAAAAAAATGTGCACTGAAATTACAAAAATTATGATATTATACAAACAAACGTAAGTGAAATACTAAGTAATAAGTAGCATTTTATTTTAATAGTGATATCCTTTCGATGAAATTAAAAGTTATCGGACGCTAATGCATATGGCTGCGCCCTTGCGGCATGAAACGGAAATGGCCCAAGTAATTAAAAATGCACAATTCCGAATTAAACCGCAGCGCTAAGAGCGGATTATTTATTTATTCCCATCATCATTAGTTTTTAACCATTGTCCATCCCCATCCAAGGGAGTTTTACGTGTCCCCGCACACTCCCGGAAAAACAGTAAATTTAAGTTATTGCTGTCGGTTCCAAGTGTTTCTTTCAGACTTTTTCTCCGGGGGGGGGGGGCGGACACTGTTGAAAGTATAGGGGGAATATATAAATAATTTGTATATAATATGTGACATTTTCTGTGTTTTATTGCCTGTGACTTTTTCCGGTTCACCACCTCACCATGGCGGAGGGTGATTAATGTACAGCATACCATGGGTCGTCTGGGCGGTAGTTTGGATAAAACCACACCCCAAGAGCGAAGAACCAAGAAATATAAGGCTAACAGTTTTTTAAGTCTGAAAATACACGGATGATTATAGATACCAGTGTCTGATAATGGAATCTTCTTTAAGAAAGGGGTGTTGGGTTGTTAGTAGTATTGTATTCTCGACTAATTTTATGGTTAGAAATTAGGGTTAGGCGTATGGTTGGACCAGGGTTGAGGTTAGGGACAGGGTTAGTATAGACATTAATCAGCCATGTGTGTATTTAGTTAACTACCAGTAACCTAACACCTCTTTTTTAAAGAAGATTCCATTATCAGACACCAGTGTAAACATTCTCCCAGCTGTGTATCCACAAGTACTCTAATAAATAGATTAAAATAAGACTAAAAAGTTTTCCATATTAAAATGAAAAATAAGTTTCAATTATACTTGCATTGTAAATTGATTGTTATCATAACGTGCCCTTAAATTATTTCTCTCTCTCTCTCTATTTATACTAGCTGTATACCTTTGCCAAGGTGAATCATTTTTAGATGAACCAACTTGGGAACAGAACAAAATCAAACACAAATGAAAACACAAACACAGCGCAAACACAAATAAAACAAAATAAATGCAAATACAACCCGGTTTCCTAGGCATCCACGCTCTGAGATAGCCTTTCCAACATTCTCTTATTTAACATAATACAGAAAAACAAAAAATAGTGATTTTTAAGAGATCATAGAAATGAAAAAAAAAAACTATAACACTCTGTACCAACTATTCAGGAAATAATATAAATAATCTTAACATTAATCTACTTTAATTATGAGCTTTAACATATAATAATCAGTGTGGTATGAATATAATATTTAGTGTTGAATTTTTTAAAAAGTTACCTCCCCTGCAATTTCAATGAATTGCTTTTATTTGACTCTGTTATTAAAATGATTCCCTTTTTTTCGAGGAATCTAAGCTAAAATATTGTTTGACATTGATCCGTTTAATGTTTTAGCTATGTGCATGTATTTAAAATTTTCTTAATGTTCTTTTGTTGGCGTATGTGAAAGAGTACAAATTTTGTCAACTATCAACAAATTTAAGTCGTTACATAAATAGACCCTACTCCAATACTTGCATTAAGACAATGGCAACACAAGTAATGCACGGCATGTTTTGTTGTTAACTTTTAAATTTGAGATTCTATAGGACACCACCAGCCGACTTGTATATATATGTGTGTATGTATGTAAGTATGCATATATATGAATATTTTGTGTAATATGTATATATGGGGGTCTTTGACAAATTGCCCAAAAGCAACAAATGCCTGAATGGACACTTGCCCGAATGCGACAAATGCTGATTGGGCATTGATTTGTTGCATTCAGGCATGTGTATATTCGAAAAATCGTCAGTCTCCCGTATATATATAAAAATATGCGTGTATTTATATATACATACACACACAAAATGAAAGAATAGAAAACCTAACAATTGTGGAATCTAATCAACTGAATTTTATTATTGCATAGACAACTGAAAAAATAAGACCTAAAAGAATATGCATATGATTATTCCCAAGTAAAAACAGGAATATAAATCTGAACAAAAAAAAAAACTCCCACAAAGATCTAAATTTGTACAAGAGACAGACACGTCGTGCTACATCAGCCAGAACTCTGCTGTCCTAACATTGAGAAATAAGAGAACACACCTGGTGTATATAAATCAACCCTTCTGTTTATAAATGCATAAACCTTGAAAACATGTGCTCAACACTCACATGCTAGATTCTAGTAATGTGAAAAGTAAAAAGCTAATTAAAAAACCCATTATGATACAAAGACTTTACAGTAATACTGTAATATATGCTTTATCTGTGGAGCAGTTAGTCAACATAAACAATGGAGCTTGTCTAGACAACTACAACATACAAGTGTATGCTTTTAAATATTTCTTTACAATGGAAATCAAACTCAATATTTAAATTGGGGGGGGGGGGGGAAGAAAGAAAATTCCTTTAATGTATGTCCACCATTTAAAAAATGCTACGCTGTAAGCCTTTAAAACATTTAAATATTTCAAGAAAAGGTATGAGTAGGGGTTGATTTAAAATAAAAATTGTTCTGTTAAATATTGATACTAATCTACGTGACACGTGTGCTTCCACAGTAGAGAAAAATGTTCACTGTAGTACTACTGTTAGATCATGAGCTATTAAAAATATATCTTAATCTAAACTGGCATGCATTATAAAATGATGATAACCAGACAATAGTAGTGGGATTTTAACTGTGTGTGGTTCCATGTTATTAAACTGGTCAACACTATTTAAGTAACACACCTTTCTTATTCAGTAATTGGCTATTACAGTCATTGCATAAAATTTAAATTACAATCATGCACCTGATTGTAATTAGAAGTATATTAAGGACTTTCTTCAAATTATACAGAGGAACAGCTCATCAGAAATGCTGAATAATATACCCTAGAGAGAATGAGAGCTGCATTTTTACTAGTTTATAACATCAAAACATTTTCAAATGATTAAATTATGCTGTTGTAGGTTAAGTACAGTATTGTTTTATGCTTTGTTATAATGAATAGGGAGAGTTTTCCTATGTTCAACACAATTTTTAAAAAAATCAGTTCATAAGTCCTCTAACTATGGATAAATAAGTTTGTTTATGCAATGTAGAACTATCTTGTACTGATCTAGTACGTTATTCTTATTAAAACATACAGCAAAAACATAGGATAATGAAAATGGTAATCCTACTATTGCACTGAACCATAATACATCCAAATAAAAAAGCAATGTACATAGAACAATGTGTATGTTAAGTAACAACATCTCTACTCTGTGCTTGAACACTACCTAGGTGTTTTAGAACAGCCAATCAACAAGACAAAATTAATGTTAATTGGTACAACTCAAAATGTATTTTGTTTATTTAGCCTGGCTGTCATTAGATCTGGTAAGACCTATTCAGGTAATTTACATGAAATAATTGCAATTTGCATATTTCCAGCAGTGCCAAACATTATAAAAGTTAAACATTAATTAATGCTTCATGTTTTGTTTAAATCAGCTCCTCAACAGTAACTGTATAAAAACCACTAAATATACACAGAATATTTGAGAAAACTTTCAGCAGCAAAATGTTTCATGCACACAACAGTGCAAGGTATTATCACTAAACACCGTCATAAGCAGTGAGTTTAAATTTAGCACAACTTCATCAGTTAACAAAAGCAAAGGCATAATTACAAGAAAACCTGGAGCAGCGCACTTCTAATATGCTGAAGAATCTGGAAGACTAGGTAAAAGTTGTAGTAAAACAAACTGATTAGGTACAGAACAAGGCCTGGGAAATACTAAAGTATGATGCAATCAATTGAATTGCTTGTGCAAGGGTTAATTTCTTGATTTAAACTTAATCATAACAACCAAGTTCAACATACAAAGAAAAATAAAATTAGTATATGTTGTATAAACTATTAGTTCAACAGACAGAAAAATTTAACAAAATAAATGTGTTGCATATTATAGTAAAAAGTGTTTCTCAAACCTAGCAGATGTAGGTTAGTAAAGAAATGTATTAAATTATGTTTCAAAGCTAATCATTGTTTATTGTACAAACTTGTAATAAATGATGTGTACTGACTAGTTTTATACAATTTAAACAATGAAAATGTGACATGTTGTGTTCCAATGGATCATGATTGCTCAACCAATACACAACTATACACTGATTCACCCACACAATCAACCACCGAGTTAAGCTTGATATGTAAGAGGAAACTCCCCATTAAGCTTTGGAGTGCTAGTTTAAAAAATTATATTGAGTAGCCAGTTCATACAGTTTGATCTTTATGTATCTATCAATACAACAAATTATTTGTATGTGCTAAATACTAATGCTTAGTACTTTTCTATGACAACAGATATGTAAATTTAAAGGAAAATTCTATTGCAGCTCTATCAATAAACATCTCTAAACAATTTATCAATCTACCTTGAAGGGCTTAGACAACATTCAGCTAAATGGCAAATAGTTGCTTTGGCATTTAGCAAAAATTCTAGTGACCCATAACATTTGTTAAGGAGATGGAGCCAGCTTGAAAGACTAGCTGAGGCTTTGCATTTAGTTTTTAATGAAAATGTATGATAATATTACAACATTGAAAATGCAAAATTTAAAACTAAAAGGTACCAATTGACTATGAACATGAAAATATGACAAAAAATATTGAGTGTAAAAATACATACTTAGAATATTTAAAGAGACAAAAACAAAACTTGCTATATCAACAATTATTCTAAATCTAGGCACAATCAGAATAACAATGCACCATTTATGAGATCTACAAAGTGAACCTTGATAATAAAATGAAATGCATAATAACGATATGGTTGAGGTATGATGCTTCATGTATTTCTCTTAGCTCAAAAATTTGATATGGCATTAACTAATACAAGAGCAAACAAAATCAACATGTTTAATAAACTGTGGTGATAGAATATACTAGAATGTACTATTGCACATAATATATTAAATAAAAAACTCACTGCTTATACTATTGTGTAAATACACCTAATAGAATAACAACCCATTAGAGATCAATTGTACTTTGCTGAACTGTAAGGCACGCTCGCTGCACTTTGAAAACAAATGCATTGGCCTCCTTTAACAAAGAAGTGTATTATTCATTTAAAAGATTTAATAAAAACCCACGTGAATATTTAATAAGAAACAATATTTTAAGCAAATAAAAAAAAAAAAACTTCCGTTTTAAATTATGTGGTATAAGTAATTTTGAGACAAAACATAAAATTATCAGGCTATTATTATATAAAAATCTTTCCAATTAGCAGTTTGATAATGCTATTGTGATAAATTGTTGCTTTTAGTTTAAGGAAGTAATAACCAACAGGTTATAACGGTACATAAGAAACTATTATGCAAAAAAAAAAAAAAAACCACAACAAAGCCAGAAATAAAAAAATGTATAACCTTGTATTAAATTATTGTATAAACGTACCATACAATGTTAGATTCATACATAAATAATAGTGGTAAAAATGAATTGCAAAACAAAATTTGGACTCCCTTAGTTTGCGTTATTTGTAATGAACACTAACGGTAATTGAAAATCTTGAAATTCACCTCAGCATTCACATTTTTAAAGTGGAAGCAAGTTGAAAAAAATACAATCTAGCTGTGTGCATTACAATGCAATTACTGTAGACTAGAAGTACTAAATGTAACAAACATTCGAGAGGTGATTCCTACAAGCTTCCATGCATAGCTCTTTATAGAGATTAAAATGTAAATCTTCATAAACTACTTAAGCCATCTGAAGTTGAGCTTTGATTTCTTTCTTCCACCTGTAAAATGTACGGGCTGAAACACCAGGAAATATACGTGAGAATTCCTGGGAATCCACATCAGGGTTATCTTTTACAAACATATATTCAGCACGACTCATTTTTTTCTGCCGCTGAGAAGAAAATGCCTCATCCTCATCTTTCACAGAACCCCAGTTCACGCCCTGCCAACTGTTACCAGAAAGAGGTGAACTGTTGCATACTCGTTCTTTCTTTGGTATCAATCTTTCTTCAGACAACTGGTTTCCTTTAAAAGACACTTCATTGTCTTTTGACATGGCCATAAGTGCTGAAAGAGACGAGTTGCCCACTTGTGAAGGCAAAATATCATTATTATAATGACTCACAGCAGAATAACGTGGTAGAGGACTAGTTTTCATGTAGTGCTGTTGGATAGAGCTGGTTGTACTAGGAACATGCAAAAAGCTGTCCACTTTGTGAGGAGATACTGTCGGTACCACTTTGTTGTTGTTATTTTTGTGTTCAGAAGATATACTTGAAAATCCAGATGTCATTTGACTATTGCTAAGGTAGTCTGAAAGGGAAGCAGAGAAAGAATTCTGTTTATCATCTAAAAATTTATTTGTGTTTCCAGGTGATTGGGAACCTGCAAACTTTGCAAGCTTGCTAAGTGACGACTCGTTGCTAATATCAGCTACATTGGATACCTCATCATTTGAAGATTTAATACTGACCAAATTGTCATTGCTTTTTCTATGGTATTCATCACCATTAATTTGATGATCTATACTGTTTGGTGTTAAAGTTGACGAGCTACTTTGAGGAGGTTGTTCTGAATAGTTATGCTTAGACAATGCTGTTGTGGCTATGTTCTCAGAAGACTGCTCAATATACTGGTTGATGCAACTAAACTTCATATTATTCCAGTAGGACTTCCAATTGTTAAAAATAAACTCTTTAGTGTGAGGGAACTTCTTTGAAAATTCTTCAAATTCAACATCTGGATGAGCACTGAGAAAATCTATTTCTTGATTGATTTTAGACTTCCACTCATCAAATAACTGTTCAGAAACATTAGAGAACTGAGAACTGAATTCTGTGAAACTAATATAAGGATGCTGCAAGCAGTATTCATAGCACTTCTGCAGATTGTCTGGACAACTTTCATTGTCTCTTGATGAACCCCTTGCTTCCTCACATGACAACTCTATGCTCTTAATTTCATCAGATTTCAAATTTTTCCAAATATGGAAAGTATCTTCAGCCACATCTTTAATACTCAGGCTAAAAGTTTTATAATCAATGGAAGGATTTGACGCAATGTGGAGTATGACTGCCTTAATTCTTTTCAGCCAAAGTTCAAAAGTAGCAGGTGACATAAACTCAAATAATACTTTGAAATCAGAGTATTTCATTGTTGGATTATGCATCAGATGAAGCAGTGCTTTTGTCATTTCATCCTTTGTCTGTCCATTGAGTTCAAATTGAGGTGATATCATGTCCATATGTTTTAAATCACTTGAACCTTCAGCAATGGATGTTGTTTCTTCAGCTATTGTTTCCTTCCATTTATTGAAGACTTCTTGAGATACTTCTGGAAGAATGGAAGCTATGTCTGAAAACTGCAGAGTAGGCTGGGCTCTAATGTAATTTAAAATTTGCTGTATTTCCCGTTTCCAGCGATAAAATGTACGTTTAGGAACATCAGGATATGTTCTTGAAAATTGAGAGAATTCAATGTAAGGATTAAGCTGCAAAAACCAATATTCAGGTCCATATAGTTTCCTGTTAGAATAACACAAGGCTCGACCATCTTTTTCATCCATGGCCTCGGGTATTTCAGTACATTCTTCCAAATGATAATCGTTGTTGGCCAACTTCTTCCAAACATTAAAAACCTCTTCAGCAGCATTTGAATCTATTGTTCTGTAAGCATTAAAATCAACATCAGGATTGGCTTTTAAATAGTCTACTGTTTCTTTCAATTCTTTCTTCCACCTGTAAAAACTTCGAACTGAAATAGTTGGGTATAATTTTGAAAAAGTAGCAAAGTCAACATCGGGATTTCTCTGCACAAACATGTACTCTTCTTTATTGTATTTCTTGTGATGTGATGTTTCATCCCCAACAACTGAATGATAGGAAGTTTTTGCTGAACTATTACATCCAATGTCTCCTGTACCAATGTCCAGTTCAACCTGCATATGAAGGGTTGGAAATGATGGTTTGACATCTGCATTCACATCTTCAGTATTGTCTGTTACAGCTGTTTGATCAACATTTGAAGAACGAGATATTTTATCCATCTCAGCCCTTTCTTTCCAAGAATCAAATACTTCTTCTGGAATATCTGGAAAAACTATTTGAAACTGGTGATATGTCATTTCTTTGTTCTCTTCTAGCAACAGTACAGCTGCATTCATTTCTTTCCGCCATCTGTAAAATGTTCTTAGGGAAATACTCGGAAATAAGGTTTCTAGCTCTTTGAAACCTAACTCTGGGTTTTTTAAATAGTAAATATATTCTTGCTTATTCTGTTTGCGCGACCTACCAGCAGAGCCCCAGAATTCTGGATCATCCTTGTCTTGTAACAACTTCATCCTTTTATCAGATGAGGATTTTGAGGTTTCTTGGCCTCCATCTTCAGCTAAACGTTTCAGACCTTGCTGAAAATGTTCACCTTGATACTGGCTTTGAGATTCTTCAGGTTTGACATCCGGCTTTGGGGACTCTTTGCGATCTGATACAGAGCTGTGCAGTCCAGAGACAGAGTTAGACAATGCTAAATTTGTTCCATGAGAACTTCCAATGGAAGTTAAAGGATTAGCTAACCCCATCATTTGGGGCCAAAGCATCATGGGCAATATTTGCTGACCCAAAGGTGATGCCATCCCGTAATAGCTATGCCATGGAAACATCATATTCTGCAGTGAGGCTAAATAAGTTGCTGAGAGGTTTCTGGAAACAGAATCATTCAAAGATGAGTTTAGAGATGGATGCATTGCAGCCATCGAATCACTGAACACAGAATTTCCAGCCATCATGTTAAAAACATTGTCTTTCTTCATCTGAGCTTGCAGATCAGATTTAGAAGACTTAGGGCTTCCCACAGATTGAAAAGATGTACCTGACATGGAGCTCGGGGACATGCTATTTGACAGTGCTTTAATACTTGGTGAGAGAGAACAGGATTTCAGATTTTCTATATACTCTTTCCATGACAGAAAGGTGTCCTCACCTATATTAGCAAGCATAGAAAAATCTGTGTAGCTCATATGTTGGTTCTGATAATACAACCAAAAGTCTTGCATGACCTTCCTCTTGAGAACATTGAAAACATCAAGGGGGACACCAGGATACTGCTGACTAAATTGCTCATAATTAATTGACAAATTCTTCTGTAGATAAATATATTCATTATTATATGTACTGGTGTTGGATTTGAGAGAGCATTTTGCTTCCAAGCGTTTTGATGAATCAGAAGGTGCAAAGAATCCTTTACCCTGGGAAATTAAAGTTTTCCAAAGGTGAAATACAGATTCTTTTGCTTGCAAAACAATGCTACTAAATTCTTGAAAGCTCATGTCAGGACATTGCTCCAGGATAATGTACTCCTCCTTTATACGTCGTTTCCATCTATAGTATGTCCTCTGATGTACATGGGGATAGTGTTGGCTGAATTCTGCAAGATCCGAAAACGGATGAAACTCAAGAAACTCATATTCCTCTTTACGAGACATATCTCTTCGTTGCCAGGGTATGCTTGTGTGACCTTCTTCTTTTTGTTTTGATGACTTGGCCAAAGAATTTTCAGAATTCCAGAGCATACTTTTATTGAAGCTGCTATTTAAGTAATGATTTGTCTCTGTCATCTGAAAATAAGATTATTTAAAATTCATGTTAATCAAAATGACACTTTGAGAGTTGAAAAGACATTTAAAAGTGAGAAACTACTAAATATATCACATTTATGCTATATTAAATTTAAGAAATTTAAACTAAAAATAAAAGGAACAGAATTTGTACAAATAAATATTGTGTAAGATTTAGAGTAAGTGGTTAGAAAGCCATATATTTACTGAGAAGAGTAAAAAAAAAAAAAGAAGAAAAATAAAGCTACCTTTCTTTTATTATGAGATTGAGGATGGTGTGTTACATCCAACTGGTTTTTATCACCCATTGTATAATACAAATCATCACCCACACCATCTGGATAACTGAAAGAAATTTTATTCTCATGAAAGATGGTTTTATACATTTATTTTAATTGTCTTTTAGAAAGTATCACTATGCAACAACTTAATATTCAATCAAATGATAAGTATGTACAGACTACACAAGTTACACAGCTGCACAGAGCTTCACTGTTACTATTTTAACTGCTCCTTAATGTCAACTTGAATATGTCACACACCAATTAGCTGGCAATATGACCAATCAATAAATGGTTGGAGGGGATTTTGAAGGGGTTAAATCAATAACTGATACTCGCACAATGCACACGATCTACAATAAATGTTATTTACACACTTATCAGATCCTGACACTTGAAAATTTATATTTATAAACTGACAGAAAGAGTCTGGATATAAGCACAAAAATAATGAATTAAAAAACAAACAACAAATAGACATACTCTCTTATGTACAACTACTAAAAGGTTTACTTCATACAATATTATGTAAAAAAAATGCATTGTTCAAACAATTAACCTTAAAATAATTCTAATAGTAGTAACAGTGCTATTTTATGTGTGCTATAAAGGAATCTTTAACTTAAAGAACTAGACAAATACTCACTCTTCATTAGTCGGCTCCTGTTTGAATGTGGATTTCAATACTGACATATCAAGGGGTAATTCCTTTGCTGTGATAGGCTGAAGCTCTATACTTTGGTCTAACAATGAAGACTGTGAGTCATTCTTTAAGCCACTATTGCACTGTGAATTTTTTACCTCGTCAATTTTAGAAGTATGAGAAAATTCTTCCTGGACTATCTCTGCTACAGTTGATGATTCTTTTATCAAAGTGTCACTATGTATTGTGCAGTTCTTGTTAGTATTTACATTATCAAAATTGTGTAAAGTTTCTTGTAAACTGTTATCTTGTTCATGAGATGTGTCCATTTTCTCTATATCAATTTCAAGAGAAGGGTCAGATTCAGAGCACAGACTTGAGTCCATAACAACAGATGCTTCAGGGTCTTCAACCTTCTCAATATCTTTAGTATCACTCAAAATGTCATTGCTTGCCTGAACTACCTCTTTCAAATCAAACTTATCTTTCTCATTCACACACAAAGCTTCTGTAGATGAAGATTTGTTTGAGCTATCCAGCACAATGGTGTCAGAGTGTGACGGTTCATTTGATGTGCCTTGCCTTTCAAGACATGCATCTGATAACATTTCTGATGGCGTTGTGTTAATTGCAGTTTTAACAACAGGCGGCGTTGTCATATTAGCTTCACATTGTAAATCAAATTTTCCATCTGCATTCTGCACAGCAACTTGTTGGTTATTTGATAATGAAGAATCTGACTTTTCATGAAGACTATTAGATATGTAGTTTGGCTGAGATGGTTTTAATCCTGACTTTATTAGCTCATTAAGACTAAAGTTTTCTTTTCTTTTTTTATCAAATTCAAGGCAAAGAAGACCAACTATCTCTATACTTTCTTCAAAATCAAAATAAGAGTGACAGAGTTGCCGCACACTTGCAATCAGAGATGGCAAAAACTCTTTCTGATCCCTCTTTGATTTTACACTTGGGTTGCCAATCATATTGTCGGGGTAGGTTTGTCTGAAAAATAATTGATAGTTGAGTTTATACGATTTCCACATACTCTGTTAGATTTATTGATCTGAAGCTTTTTAAATTAAATGACATCCAACATCTAGCTTTAACTTAATACTGTATATACACTAAAACACACACACATATATATGCCCTATTATATACACACACATTTATCTACTTTTAAACATACCTAAAGCCAAAGTTTTAAATGCTACATGTTGCCAGAAACAATTAATCCTTTTTGTTACAAAACTGTAGTTTTTGGTTTTGAAGGGGCTTGACTTAAAAATGATCTAGAATCTACATCACAAACCACAATACTTTCACCAAGTAAGAATGTTTTTATTAAGTTAAAAAAAAAATGTTTCCATAATCTAAGTTGGGTAAATCTTTCTTTGGACAGCATAGGCACTATAATAAGGCAATAGGCATAGTTAAGAATATTAAAACTGGAAAATAGGCCTATAAAAAAACCTTTAGATCTAGTATTCCATAGTCTTACCAACAGGCTAGAGCTACTGAAATTCTAGAGTAACTCTAAATACTACTAGATCTAGATCTAGATCTAAATAGTAAATCTAGACTCTAGGCCTAGTAATAATAATAATAATATTCAACTAGAATCCAAATTATTCTAGATCTAGCTACTAGACTAACTAGAGGCTAGATCTCTAGATAGACTAGATGTCGCAGATGCTCATAGTCATAGTGATGGAGTAGAAGCCAGGCAGTAGCAAAAGCTTTGAAAAACCCTGGCTTGAGTCATTAAAAGTGATTCCTAGATTTTAAGTGTCAAAATGGCAACAACAAAAAAAATATTTAAAATTAAAAATCAGATCCAGATTCTAGATTTCTGATCTAGATCTAAATTTACATGCAAAAATAAATCTCTAGGGTCTATACAATAATAGTACTAGATCTAGATCTAATAATATAATAAAAGCTTAAAATAAAAGCTTTCTGCTCGATGCAGGCAATGTCTAAAAATAGCACAACCAGACCCAGACATGCTATTTTTGGCATGACAAAATAAACTTAAGTAGGTCAAACATCTGCCGACTAGGCGTCAAGCAATATCTCTTATTAAAATTGACACGTCAACTACAAAAATTAAAAGTATTTTCAAAATAAAAAGCTAGATGTACTTCTGATTAACAAAATTTATAAAGTTACTTAACCTATAAACTTAGTTATGGGCGAGTTATTAGATAGGTAACATACCGGCAGAGAGAACAAGAACTTTTTTCGTGAGCCTCCATCAAATGCCATGCCAGGCTTGAATCTTTCATTTTAAGGGTAGATCTAAGTTTCCTCCAACGATCAAATGAGCTTGCAAGATATACACGCCTTGCATCTCGCCATTTATATGCTTCTTGGCGTCTGTTTATTCTTTCACGATCTGTTTTTGGAGGCCTGCCCTTTGAAAACTTCTTTTGTATTATGTCAGTACGCCGGATGGTGGCCATTTTGTCAGTGTCCTGCCAAGCAATCGCAAAGGTTACCAGGATTTGGTCGTCGACGGAGTTAAAATGGTGACTTGCAATACGAAATTCAATTATTCATTCAGTTTGCATGTCCATTTAATAAAAGACAAAATAATGTTGTATCTGATAAGTAGTCAACATATAACAAATAAAATCAAAAGTATGAAAACAAATATTCTTATTAACTTTTTACAAAATAAAAAGAATCATATTTCTATCACGATATCTAACAAGAATGCATATGCAATATTAACGTTGTAATATTACTAGGAAAAATAAAATTCTAACACTGCAAACGGTTGAATTAACTCTTTATTTACATACATTAGGTTATTCAAAACAATAAGAACAAACCGGCAAGCTGCAAGACATCAAATTTAGACATGCGCATGCGCATCTTTTGCGCCAGGTGTCATTATAGGCCTAGGAGTTGGCATGTGTCAGTTATCACTCATGACAGTGAACTAGATGTAGCTAAGCCTAGACCCTTTGTACACATACTGTGGGCCTAATTGAAAAGCATTCCACAATCTAGGCTCATGTACTATTGCTATCAGTCTCTTATTCGCGCATTCATAAAAATATCATTATGAAAATTATTCGATCTAAGCCTATAAGCCTTGAAAATGATAATTCTAAATTGACTTAGTTCAACGGATAATGTCTTCTCCTTTTGTATATATGTAGGCCTATGTTGCCCGAGTGGATTAGATTTAAATTTATGCGTTAAAAAACATCGGAAGAGTAAGGACATTTCAAGTTTTGAGGTCACCCCTAAATGACTCCAATCTCCTAAAAAGACATTCGGAAAGGGGGGGGGGGGGAAAGGGAGGGTGTGTTAAAGACGATCTCTTTGTTAACTCTTTATGGGAATTAGGATCTCCGAAAAAGTCAGATTTGTTGTGGTTTTGGTCTATGTTTATAGATAGTGTTAATGCCTCTGCGGTAAACAGAAAAAGAAAGGAATCGTGGGCACGGGGTGGCTTTATGACTAATAATACTGCGGTGTACTATTACTGTACAAAAATATTATAAAAACATTTACGATTACCGTACGGACATACCATCAAAACATTTCTTTCCTTACAAAAATATAGGCTATACAACTGAGTCCATTTTTAAGAGCTTTTATTTAACTTGCTAATTCTGTCCGTCGACAGTCTGTCATCAGTCTGTCTATCTGTCGTCATAGATCGAAACGCTCGTGGGGAAAATTCGGGCACTTCTAACAGACAGATTCGGTTCAAAGTTGGCACGTGGGTCAACACATGAAGACAATGCAATCTGACATTACATTTGACTTAATTGGATGCCTAATTAATTTTTTATGAGTTAATTCAAATTGTGTCCTAATTTGCAGGCGGTCTTATCCAACTATTCCGCACTATTATACGCGCGTTATCATGTTCATTATTTGGTGTGCTATGGTTTTTAGTCAAGCAACTCTATTGTAAATATAAAAAAAAATTAAGTGCTGAAAAAAATAATTCATAAAAAAACGTTTTAATAAAAAGTTTTTATCCTTTTGATATAAATATAAATATAAATATAAATATAAATATAAATATAAATATAAATATAAATATAAATATAAATATAAATATAAATATAAATATAAATATAAATATAAATATAAATATAAATATATATATATATATATATATATATATATATATATATATATATATATATATATATATATATATATATATATATATATATATATATATATATATATATATATTTATTTATTTATATATATTTATATATATAAATATATATATTTATACAAAGCAAAGTGGTCAACTGTCGTAGACCGATCCTTTATTTTCTCCTTTTTAGCGCAAAATTATATGAAAGCTTGTTATTAAAAGGTGTTTTTTTTTTACAAACTTTTATTAAACTTGCCATCTTAAAAAATTTTGTAAAAAAGAAACAAACCAGGCGAATGTTCAAAAAGCGTGATCATGAGGGAACCCGGGGTGTTGCAGATGACCCGACCCTCGGGGCGCCGGCGGACGCGCCAGATTCTATTTAGTGAAAGCCTATAGTGGCCCGTTATATCTGTAGTGTATCGCACTCTTTAAAACGAACGTAAGACATTTTTCTTCGGTGGAGAGGGGGGGGGGGGCATTCAAAACGTTCTGGTGGGGGAGGGGGGGAGGAGTTTGGACTTTAATTTCCGGGAGGCGGAACATTTTGCAAACATTTTGTAACTAAATTAAATTTCGTCATGGGGGGGGGTTGTATATGGGGTAGACGCAGAGGCGTAGCTAGGGCGGGGCGGGGGGTGCGGACCACACCGAGTGACACCATTTAGGGGGGGGGTGACACCAAGGCGAAACATTGTAAAATGTACATAAGAAAAATGTTTATTTTTTTTGCCAGTTCCATTAATGATTAATTAAAGTTAGTCTTTAAAGAACAAATCTACAACTACTACGTGAGAGTAGGGACTAGGGGGTGACTTTGTTTCTCGGGGGGGGGGGGGGGGGTGACACCATGAAGTGCCGCACCGGGTGACACCCGACCTAGCGTCGCCACTGGGTAGACGTGTTTCTTCTCCCTCTCTCCCCCGAAGAGATGCCTGAATAAAAACCTCACTGCGTACAGCTGTAACAATATTTATGCCTAAACAGAACGTCTTTTCCCTATCTTCTAGGTGGCACAATGTCTTGAGAGGGGGGGGTGCAAATCGAAAGTTTGAGGGGGGGGGGGTGCAAATCGAAATCTTGAGGGAGGGGGTGCGAATCGAAATCTTGAGGGGGGGGGGGGGTGCAAATCGAAAAGTTTGTCCCCGGGCGCCAGGAAGGGTCGCTACGCCTCTGCTTTCGAGACGTGTTCCAACTAGTTTAGGTTAGGATTAGGTTAAATTATCCTGGCAAGCTGCAGACAATAACTTTCGAGACTTGTGTTCCAGCATGTCCTTTGTTCCCGCCCTTATTGATTGTGTCACCTCCCATACACGGGTACTGAATGATGTAACAGCTGTAGTTAGATCTAGGTGTTAAGCCCAGTGATCCGTTTTAAGTGCCAGAGTTATTTAGTATGTCTATTCACGAGTGTCGCGAGTAATGTTATGTATATGAGATAGGGTATGGGGTCATCCATGAATGAAGTCACGCTTTTTTTGACGATTTTTACCTCCCCTTCTCCCCCGTCACACGTCGTCACAAAAAGCCAGACCCCCCATAAAATGACGTCACACCTCAGCCTACACCCCTCCCCCCCCCCCCCTCAAAATTGCTGTAGAATTTTTCTTAAAACATCGACATTTTTTCAAAATCTTGTCAGAACTCTGTCAACATAGCGTATTTTGATCAACGCCTATTATAGTTTATTAAAACCGTTATCTAAAACTCGAAATAACGACTAAAACTCGTTTTATAATGTTTTTTTTTTTTTATAATGCGTCACACCATCTGAACCCCCCCCCCCCCCATCATACACCGTCACAAAATTACGGACCTCCCCCCCCCTACGAGTGTGACGTCATTTATGGACGACCCCTATGTGTGTTTTAAAACTTGTCATTTGTTAAGAATTATATTTATATTATATTTATATTTAAATGGAGAGCGGTTGGGGGAGGGGGGGTGGACCTTTAGGGAAGAGATTGGTAGATCTGACTTTTTGTAACGTCATTGGGCTTCAGGGGTTAGAGAGGGGTTTATTTTATCAGACAAAACTTCCCATGCCAATGTCTCGCTCTTCTCTTGTTGACCGACCGGCCGGCAAGCAGGTCCAAACGCACATTTCATGACATAAGTGGTGGGCCACTTTGCGAATTTGCTCCCAATGTCTAAGTAAGCCTTGTCCCGAATGTGTAGATATCCAGGGGCGGGATTCGAACCCGCATCACCGACAGGAAAGACTTGGCTCTACCACGGAAACGTTACGCTGAGACTGTTAGCCACCGGTCCGTATTGCCACCACCTAGAGCTGGTTGTCCATCTCCTAAACTCCTTCCAATACAGCTTTAAAAAAAAAATTATTACAAATATTTACTAAGGGGTTTTTGGCAGCAAGTCTTCATAATAGGTTCGAATCCATTCAGCCTGCGCTCGCTGGGTATGGTTATCACAGCCAATGTTATCCTTTGCTAGTGGTTGAAGTTAGCTGGCATTTAGCTATTAATTTTAGGATAAAGACACGTCTGTCAGTATGTAAGGCAAGCACAGCTCCGTGGGGATGGAACAGTTAGTTTTGCAATTAACAGGCCGCTGCTTCTGCTACTAATCACCCGAGTCACTCTTATCATTTACTAAAATTTAAACAAAAGCGTCGCTTATCGTTTTGATCAAATCCTCATTGATCTCGATTAAATTATCCTGTTGACATATTTTTTTGAGACATCTGGTAACATAAACATAAATTCAAGGGATTTAACCCATACAATTAATAATAAAACTAACATTAGATTATTACTACTAGTTGTCTCCCTTGAAATAAGTTTTCCTGCTGATTTTTAGGGCATTTTCGTACTAGAATGTATTTGTAGTACCTTTAATGTTGATAAAATAAAATGCCTTAGTTACCGTCAATTTTGACTTAATGAAATGCATTTATAATATCTTTAATGTTGACATAAGAAATATGTATGTAGTAGGCCTACCTCTATATAATAAAATGTAGTCCCATTTGTAGTTGGCATAATAATAATATAAACAATGATATAAAAATGTAGATACATTTTTAATACATGCAGTTTAATACAGTAACATATCGGCCCATTTGTAGTACCAACTAGTATCTTCAATTAGGTTGTATGGTAACTTCCATTTATTTCGTTTGGCATCTTTTGTCAAATGTCATCAAATGTTTTGTAATACAAGAAAAAAATTTTAAAATATTTTTTAAAAACCTTCATAATAATAAGCTTTTAATAATAAACTTTTAAATGGACTGAAAATATGAATGTAAAACTAATTTCCTTTCTTTAATGAAAGCATTGGTCGTCAAAATATGTAAGAGATTTCACGAGTGTCCAATGCTTT